TTTAATTTTTTTAAATGTGAATTTAAGCAGATAAGAATAATTGTAGACTAGGTACTCAAACTAAGATACGATATCAGCCAATGGAAGAAATTGTAACCGTCTGAAAGAAATGAACTCGTTAACAGACGATTAAGTTCCGATATACCCATTGGTAATCATCCTGTAAATAACGGGTATCGTACCGCATTCCGCTACAGATTTCCTCCCAGTTCATGACTCATGAACAAGGAACACGTACGTCTACACGGAATCCAACCCAGGAAATTCAGATCTCTGAAGTACCGCAGTATCAGTACTTACTTACTTACTTACGCCTGTTACCCCCAATGGAGCATAGGCCGCCCACCAGTTTTCTCCAACCAACTCTGTCCTGGGCTTCTCGCTCCAGTTCTGTCCAATGTTTATTCATTCCTCTCAGATCTTTCTCTATTTCTCGGCGTAGTGTGTTCCTTGGCCTTCCTCTCTTCCTTTTGCCTTGAGGGTTCCATGTGAGGGCTTGTCTCGTGACGCAGTTAGGTGCTTTCCGCAATGTGTGTCCCATCCACTTCCACCGCTTCTTCCTGATTTCCTCCTCCACTGGAATCTGGTTTGTTTTCTCCCACAGTTCGTTGTTGCTGATGGTGTCTGGCCAACGAATACGAAGTATTTTGCGTAGACAACTGTTAATAAACACTTGTATCTTCTGGATGATGGCTTTGGTAGTTCTCCATGTTTCCGCTCCATACAGTAGAACTGTGTTGACATTTGTATTGAAAATCCTGATTTCGGTTTTGGTTGAAAGTTGTTTGGAGTTCCAGATATTTTTCAACTGTAGAAATGCAGCCCTTGCTTTGCCAATCCGTGCCCTCACATCTCCATCGGATCCACCTTTCTCGTCGATGATGCTGCCAAGATATGTAAAGGTGTCAACGTCCTCGAAAGCATCTCCACCAAGAGTGATTTGGTTGGTGCATGTTGTGTTGCATCGGAGAATTTTGCTCTTTCCTTTATGTATGTTGAGACCTACTGCTGCAGAGGCTGCTGCTACACTGGTCGTCTTCTCTTGCATTTGTTGTTGAGTGTGCGATAGAAGAGCCAAGTCATCTGCGAAGTCCAGATCGTCCAGCTGCGTCCTAACTGTCCAGTTGATACCGTGCTTCCCTCCAGACGTCGACGTCTTCATAATCCAGTCGATCACCAGGAGAAAGAGAAAAGGTGAGAGTAAGCAACCTTGCCTGACACCGGTCTTCACCTCGAAAGAGTCTGTTAGCTGTCCTCCGTGCACGATTTTGCAGTTTAGTCCATCATAAGAATTCCGTATGATGTTAACTATTTTCTCAGGCACACCGTAGTGTCGAAGAAACCTCCACAGTGTTTTCCTGTCCACGCTATCGAATGCTTTCTCGTAGTCGATGAAGTTGATGTAGAGTAGTGAGTTCCATTCAATTGATTGTTCCACAATGATCCGTAATGTAGCGATTTGGTCAGTACACGATCGATCCCTACCAAATCCGGCCTGTTGATCTCGAAGTTGGGCATCTACGAAGTCCTTGATTCTGTTTAACAATACCCTGTTGAAGACTTTGCCTGGTATTGAAAGAAGAGTGATGCCTCTGTAGTTCTCACACTTGCTGAGATCGCCTTTCTTTGGTATTTTGATCAGGTATCCTTATTTCCGATCTGATGGTACTTGTTCCTCATCCCAAATCTTCTTGAAGAGGATGTGAAATATTTTTGCAGTTGCTTCTACATCTGCTTTGATTGCCTCTGCTGGAATGTTGTTTGATCCTGCTGCTTTGCCGCTCTTGATTTGTCTGATGGCTATACTGATCTCCTCAATCGTAGGTGCGTCAATATTAATTGGGAGGTCCGTGGATGCTGCTTCGATTTTGGGTGTGTTCAGTGGAGCTGGTCGATTCAAGAGTTCCTGAAAGTGCTCTACCCACCTATTTCGCTGTTGTTCAGTGTTGCTGGTTACTTTGCCTTCCTTACTTTTCACTGGTCGTTCTGGTTTACGATAGTTTCCAGCGAGCTTCTTTGTTGTTTCGTACAATTGTCTCAAGTTTCCGTCTCTTGCAGCCTTTTCCGCCGTCATTGCTAGATCACCCACATATTTTCGTTTGTCAGCTCTGATGCTCTTCTTCACTTCCCTGTTTGCTTCTGTGTATTGAGCTTGTGCCTTGACTTTCTCTGCTCTTGTTCGGCTGACAGTGATTGCTGCTTTCTTGTTCCTCCTTTCTTCAATTTTCGCAAGAGTATCAACAGAGATCCATTCCTTGTGATGGTACTCCTTGTGACCCAGAACTTCGTGACATGTTGAAGTGATCGTCTCCTTAATCCCTTTCCAACTGTTATCCAATGTTGTGTCCTCTCCATTGAGTAGATCCTGAAAGGCCTGGAACCTATTGGTGAGGGCTATCCTGAATTCGTTGAGCTTTACAGTATCCCGAAGAAAGGCTGTATCAAACTTGTGTGATGTTGTCTGTCCTGTTGTCCAGTGCTTCTTTAGTTTCAGTTTCATTTTGGCGATCAGCGAATGGTGATCTGAGGCTATATCAACTCCTCTCCTGGTTCTCACATCCTCCATAGTCCTTCTGAACGTTTTGTTGATACAGATATGATCAATCTGGTTTTGAGTAGTGTGGTCCGGTGAAATCCATGTGGATTTGTGTATGCGTTTGTGCGGGAATATTTTGCCACCGATGACCAGTTTGTTCAAGGCACATAGGTCTGCAAATCTCTCACCATTTTCGTTTCTTTCTCCCAGTTCATGTCGTCCCATGATGTCTTCATATCCAGTGTTGTCCATTCCGACCTTGCCATTCAGGTCTCCCATAAGAATCGTCAAATCCTTTGGTGAACATTTATCGACGATTGACTGCAGCCTTTCGTAGAATTGATCTTTATCGTCGTCATTGTAGTCATTGGTAGGTGCATCACATTGGATGACGTTCATCGTAATGTCCGCTTTCTTTGTTTTGAAGGATGCTTTAATGATCCTCGGTCCATGAGATTCCCATCCTATCAGTGCCTTTTGTGCATGTTTGGACATCATCAGTGCAACTCCTTGTGTATGTGAAGCGTTTTCCTCTTCATGACCAGAGTATAACAGCAGTTCCCATGAAGCTAGTCTCAGTTGTCCTACCTGTGTCCAATGCGTTTCACTGATGCCGAGCACCTCGAGGTTGTATCTTTTCATTTCTGCAGCAACTTGAAATAGTCTTCCAGTCTCCCACAATGTACGAACATTCCATGTACCTAAAAGAAAGGTTGCTCTGGTTGTGAGAAGAGGCATCGGCCCCGTGACTTCCGAGGGAACTCGACTTTCATCACGCGACGTCATAATTCTTCTTCGAACTCCCAGTGCAGAGTTAAGATGGTTTGAATTATTTTTTCTGGTTAGCGTTTTTTGGCAAGTGAGATTTCGACGGAATGGGGTCGCCAACCCCATGTCCAACCCTCCTCCTTTATCCGGGCTTGGGACCGGCAGTAGCCCCTAAGGTTCTACTGGCGGAGTTCGCGGTATCAGTATCTAATACTTATTGAATTATTCATGCTAGATAACTTCTTAGACAGTTATATTTAGACTAACAAATGTAACTAAATGAACTAATACAAGCTACACCACTTCGATAACGAAGCTCCTGTAGAGAACGACTGAACTATAGAGCCAGAAAACCTTAAACCTTAAGCAGTGTAGTGATGATAACTGCTTATTAACTAATTTTCTTCGTAAAATGAGAGTAAGTAAACACCTCGTCGAAGCGTTTGCTAAAATATTTTCTATCTTTTTGATGTCAGTAGTCGAATTAATGACATAAAAACTTAAGGTCACTAATGAAAATGTTTGGTAAGTATTTTTATTTGATTCTACTGGAAGTTTGATATGCTTGAAACTATTACCAGTTTACCTTACTCGGTAAACAGGAGTGAAGTCAAATGATGCAGTGACACGACAGGCTATTCTAGTCCGTTTGTCCCCGCCCCGGCTAACTACTTCAGGGCGTAGAATGTGTATTCTACGAGCACCCAGAAATACAAGGTTCGAAAAGCACATAAATCAAACTTATTTATACATGGCAGAAACGTCCTTGGGAAAGCCACAAAAATAGCGTACTAAAGTAATCCATCAACCAATGACAGTCAAGGATTTTCCGCGTGGGAAATGTAAGCTGAAGGTCAACTAAGCAGCTTATGCGCGAAAACATAAAACATCCAAAATTAGGACCTTTATCAAGTGAGTTCTGTGGAGCTAACGTCCCCAACAAAGTCAGCCATTACTTACTTCCTTCTTGGTTTCACCTGACTAATTCGTCTTGATTAAACACCGCCCTCTGTTTTTGTAATTGTATAAATTTAAAGATTTTCAGCATTTGGGATTTAGAACCTTTGTCAGAGTATAGCTGTGACAGGAATGGGACTAAGCATATTGCTCGGAGTCAGACTAAGAATCAATATGAATTATATCTACTGAAATATAGTTTTGATCTATTTTTGATGTGAGAATAAGTCTTCGTCCATCAACCCACTTTTCTCTCGAGTCTGGTCGTGTAGGTCGTCAAATGCATTATTCGAGAATAGGAGAACTGTTTTGCTGTCAAAAAGAATAGGAAATAGATTCTTTCAAATCCTTTTGAACAAAGAAATCAAATCAGTAATAAGGAGATTTGCGAGCTTCTTTCATGTACCTTGTATTTTCGACGTTTCATGTATTGCCTATGACGATTTACCTAATTTTGTTTGCAATTTATGGAGAAATAGCGCAAAAATCTTTGCTATCATGAGTGAATGAAAAACTCTAGTAATTAATTTTAATTCATTAAAAACAATCTATTCGTGAGGAAAACATGTCGTTTATGAATATCAAAGCATCTAACTTTTTTATGATTGGCTAACGTTGCTTCTTGTCTTTCGCTATCCCATTCATGAAGATATCTTATCGATTCTTTATTAACCAATCATTTACAAGGTCAAAGAATAAATCCTAGCCATTGAATTTTTACTGTTTAATTACTTACAAAATGTCTTTAGGCTTCGGAACTTGTGTTAAATCAGGAAACGAACATATCAATGCACGCTTCTCCAAGGTAAATCTGTTATTGTGACTTCATTCGAATTAACTAATCTCTTCAAGACATATGAACAAATTGAATTGTTATTATCTCAATCAAAACCTCAACCAATATCATTATGTGCAAAAGCCGCTGCTATCGAAGTAACACATTGATTTATTCTTCATATTCCGTATATTCTAGGCTTACGATCATTTGAGGTGCCATCATTATATTCCTGAAGCAGAACAATTAGTTAATTTACTAGCTAGACCACATATTAAAGTAAGTTATACATAGAGAGAGAGGAATGAGTATTGTTCTAGTCTCTATTACTTTGTCATGATGGAATAGCGAATAAAGCTTATGGACCAGTTCTACCACAGATATCAACAGAGGTAGATGAGGACGATGTAAGCGTAAAAGTAAACTTCATTTTAAAATATCATTTTCTACTAACCATCAAAAAAAAGATTGTAAATTTAATCAAAAATCATGAACCACTTGGAGTTACTATTAAAATTAATGAAAGAAATGGAGCTGTTCTAGTTGCACGTGTTATGCATGGTGGAGCTGCTGATCGTACAGGTAAAAAAAACCTTTTTAAATATAACAGTCTGTCTGTCTGTCTAAATGTGGAAACACAAGATTGTTCACAAAATTCTGTGTTAATTAGTTCATAAAATGAATGCATTAATGATGTTATTTTGATAGATCTTAAATTGTTGGTACACGAGATTCGTGGAAATTATAGAATCTTAACAGTTTAAATCATTTTCGTCAATGAACGAATTACCCCGGTAGAGTCCATCTCTCTCTTTGATAATAGTTAAAACAAGTATATTCTCATAAGTAATCAGCGTGACATTAAAAATTAGAGAACAGAAATGAATATAGTTGATAGAAACCCAAAGCTTATATTTGTTGATAACTGGCACTCGTCAGTAAGTTTTATCTAAAATTTTGAGGAAACTGATGCTCTATGTGGGGTTCGAACCCGAATAACTCAATCTCACATTCTTTGACTTGAAATTTAAGTGATTTATGAGATTTTGACTTACATATTTAGAACTGACTAGTCACAGATTAGTGACTAGTGTCATTTCCATCTAATTCTTTAGTTTTGAACTCGATTAGCACTTATACTATATGATGCAGCAAAATTTTAATTTAACAAAACAAGGCCTGATCTAGTTTTCAATAAAAAACCTTCATTGTTTATTATTGTACGACCGTTTTATTGTATAGGAAAATTATGTTTACTTTTACCCCTTTGTTAAATAATATACTTCATTGTAATGTCAGTCAACTAAAGTGAAGGTTTTTATTTTTTTTTTAATATGTTCATGTTTCCTTCAGATGCTATTGATGTCGGGGATGAGATTCAAGAAATTAATGGTATCACTGTACACGGACGAGACCCTATGGAAGTTATACGAATGTTGGTTAGTGGTTTACTTATCAGTAGTATAAATTATTTGCTTTTTAACCGAACTGAATAAATATTCTTGTATAAACATAAGAACTATTGTGATAAATGAGCTAGCTTTATTCTAAACACTGTTGTTCCAAAATGAATATTCTTACAATCTGTAACAAGTTTTTATGCTCTCACACTTTTTGGATTATAGACGTGACTATTCATTGGAAAAGTGAATACATTAAATTAATTTTATACTGTTTAGTTATCTATGTAGATTGAAGCTGACTGACCAGGTGTTTATACAATACGGTCACGAAATTTATCTCGATATACATTTATCTGACTTAATAAAATTCAATAGCAACGTTCCTGAAGAAATCGAAAGTAACAATAATTGTAAAGATTTTATTGCTAATGTTTACAACTGCAGTAATGAATGGTATAAATTCAACTCTTTCGGATGTTATCGCAAAATACAGATTGATCATAGCATTCTTCCGATTAATTACAACCATACAATATAATGAGTATTCATATTGAATGAGCAACTCGCGTTCATGTGTTAAATAGTTACATAAATAATCATCCATTGTAGCATTGTAAACATATAGTCCTTTTTATAGTGTACACTCTTCACAAGATTGTAAATGAGATCTTTGTAAGAACGATTGAATATCTTTAAACTCTGAACTACTGTTTCATTCCTGATTGAAAGTCAGAATGTAACTGTAATGATTGATGACATTATTAATAAAAAATAAAGAAAGTATAGGAAACGAAAAAAAACAAACAGTGTAACAATAGATTTCCACTTTGAAGCTCTACAATTACAGTTTTTTTCTCATGGAATTGATTTTGAGTTAAAACTTTATGCTTAATCACTGCTAAATAATTATAAGTAGTATTATTTAGAGATGAGTGAGCATTAGAAATGTTAGAATAGCTTACTTGTATATATATATATATATTTTTTTTTTCATAGCTAATATTTGTTTGCTTTTTGTTTAGATGAATTTTATTTCTTAAATTTACAGACAACTATATCTGGCGACGTGAAATTGAAACTGATTCCATCTATCACAAAAAAACAGCAAACAGAAAAAAATCAAGTAAGAAACAAATAGTGTGTTTAAAATTATGAAATTTTTTTTCACAATGTTATAACCAAATAGAGTTTTAAAATCCAACGGTAATAAAATTATATCGAATATAATCAAATTTTAGTCTCAAAGATAATGTTCATCATTCATTGTCGTCGACTGAGAAATACCGGACAACTATTTCGTCCAAAATCGGGGCTTCTTACCGACACATAACTATTAATTCTCCAAGTAGCAAAGCTAGACCTTACAGTTCTCAGAAAGAGAGAAAGAATAGTATACCTTTGGAATTAGTGTTGAAGCAACGTCTGGAGATGAATTGCCTGGCGCCCTGAATACAGATTAAGATGACACATCGTTTATTACTTGGGGATCTTAGGAACTGTTAGTGCAGAACCAGGCCTATTTCACCTCTTTTGATGAAGCTTTATTATACACCGAGTTGATATTAATATTAAGTATCACCTTCTGTTTTATTTTTTTCAATATCATTCGTCAAATCAAAGCAGTATGTTAGATTTTCATTGAAGTAGAAATAAAGGTCGAGTTGTATAAGTGTATTTTTGTTAAATCGTTCAGTTCATATTATTTTTTAAAACTCTCCATCTGTGTATCAACTAGATTGATATTGTTTTCTATAAAATAATTTTTCACATCAGGTACATGTTCGAGCTTTATTCTCATATAGTCCAGGCTCCGATTCATTAACTCCATGTCCAGAAGCTGGTTTGGCGTTTTTAAAAGGTGAAATTCTGCGTATAGTCAATTCAGAAGATCCAAATTGGTGGCAAGCTGTAAAAGTATGCATTTATAAGATATTAAAGTTTAGATAATAATACATTAATCTTTAAATAAATCGTACAAGTTGTCATCAGTTGATAAACCATTGAAAACCACAGAGAACGAAGTAGCTGCTTAGACCCTATATCAGAACCCTCCTTAGTGATCAATCATAATTCTATCAAGGTTTGAAACCTAGATCATTACAGCTCGCAGCAAGCATTTCACCTTCAGACTAATGAGTCAACACTCGCCACTCAAAATGGTAGGGAGATTTAGTATAATAATCATCCAATGCCACTGATGGTCAAATATTTCACTTCCGATATTATTGAAATCTACCAGCCGCAACTTGTTCTTTGGCTGTTGTCATCTGTCAACAAAAGTCGTCTTTAAGTCTAGTCCATCATCACAGTCCTCTTGTCAAAATAATAAACCTTTCTTTATAAATAAGCAAAATGACTGCAGTTCACAGAGTTGTTTGTTAGTATCTTCATAGAAAGAATATTATGCCTATAATATTAGTGACTGGTTTTGAGAGGAAATTTTCGCAGTTCTAATGAGTTGTGAACAGTGGAGTTCAGCTGTGTCAGATGTTACGAAGTTACCCACCGAAGACATCAGAAGATGGTCACATAACATCGCAGATTGAATGAATATAAACTTGCACCTCACTGGATGCCGGGCTCAATAGTTCAGAGGTTACGCTTTCTCGATCGAGACCGAAGGTTCTGAATTTGATTGCCGGTTGAGCTATCATGGACGCGCATTGTTAAGAATTCCCATTACAGGACGAAACGGCCATTCAATGCATCCCAGTTTTTAATGGTTTACTAACTTAGATCGGTTTGTGATCTCTGTAATATTCGGCAATCTCCATAACTTAATGCTGATAATAATTATAATCAAGCAGGTCGGTTTGCTTTTTCCTACAACAGTCAGTTATTAGATTAGTAATATCAGTCCTTACACTTCCTGATTTTCTGATGGCAATGGTTATTTCTTTATTCTGTAAAGTTATAAAACCCTCCCTGGAGTCACTCCCCTCTACGGTCAGCAGTACGATTTCACCCTCAGACTTTGAGTAATTGCTTTTAATCTTACCGTTCTTCAATCGACCTGCCTGGCATGGTAGAACCTACAGGAACAAATGTTCTACCCAATATAGCTCTGTTGGGTCATCACAATAGGCAAGCTCGACTACCACGTCCAGGCAGCAGCTACGATCAGGAAATCGTGGACGTAATATCTGATAATTAAATCTATTATAATATGTCCGAGAAATTACTATATATGGTGATCTTAACTGAAAAATAACACATTCATCATTATTTTTCTTTTTTTGAATAGATTGAATTTCCACTTAGTGGGATTGTTCCTTTTGTGTTGGGTAATAATTTAACTCAACCAAGTTTAGGTAGAGCTGGCTTAATACCAAGCAAAATGATGCGAGAATGGTAAGTCAGGAAAAAAAAACAACACATTAAGAACTAGTTTTTTAATTCTTTAGTTCGCGATAGATGCTTTTTGTTTCTTGTCAAACCGACCGATATGTAATTTTCTTGCTGTTTTTAGATGTTTATATCAACATTAAACATCAAATTTGCTGTTATAAAAGTTAACTTAATCATCAAATTGAATTTCGAAATCGCATATTCTTTCAAAGTTTACTGTGATAATCAAACTATTGATTAAAAATACTACTCATTGATCATTCGACATAAATATCGTAGTCATGCTGGAGGAGAGTCGTAGCCCAAATATCGCAAAGATGACATCTCAGGCTGTAGATCTAAGTGTCACAAGTTCAAATGGAGCATTAATTCCTTTAAAATAGTGTCTACGTCTTCCTTGCTGGTGACTGTCAACTATCATGGTCCACTACTTCCAACTTCCTTACCTTAGCAAAAGGGTGTAAGGTTATTTGACTGGCGAAACTCTCAGTATTACCGGAATTATCGGTAGAGATATTCGTGTTCGCCATATCAAATAGGTTTTTCTAAGTCAAATTTCGTGAAAACCAATACCTCACGGCTCGTATAAAGATTCTTGGATAAAGGAACTAACAGTTCAATACTATTGTTCATTTATTTCGCCCTTGGAAGCCGAACTGTACGAAGCTTCATACATAAAGTACGGTTCTAAATGCATAAACCAATACTTAATAAATGAGTAACAATAATGTAATGAACACAATTGCAAAACAATAAGTCAACTGTGAATCATTAGATGCGAATCGGCTCTACTTTTCGTTTCTTCATACCTTCATTTTACTTGGATATATATTACAGAATTAGCAGTGGTAATGACATAACAGAGCTAAATGTTGGAACCAAGCACTTGTTCATATCTGATTGTTATGTAGCTGATTTGGAAAAACTAAGATTAAATGTTACTTGTAACTACATTTTTCGAATCCTGTGAGATGCAGCAGTCGTGGATACACCATGCTGATGAGTCCCAAACCAGGATGAAACGGCCATCCAGTGCTTTCAAGTTTCTAATGGTGGTCTAACAATGACTGATTTATTATTTCCATGTGTGAAAGCACTAAACTCCATAACTCTAATTGAAAAAACTGTAGTTTTGCTAATACTCACTGATATTCATTTTTAAAGTGCATTCAAAATTCTTTAACGAATAACACACAAACAAAATGATGTGCTATCAAAAGTATACGATCTTCATTTTAATCACTATTTAAAGTCATGGGAGGGTAAATGTCTCACTACAAACTTGGTTGTCTTTCAGAATTACTACTTCCAACCAAAACATAGTGGGGAGTATCCATCTGGAAGTGTCACAAGTAATCGTTGCTGATAAGTTCCTGGCTCTGAAGCAACATCTGCCCACCGTTTTAAGATTTTCACTGGTTTATAGAACTGACGTCAGTTTTTGATGAAAATGACCTTTACGTATGAATTCGTAGGAATATAAAGTGCATATCAGTTATGCAAAAGATTCAAGTCACATATCTTCTATTCTTGAAATCATTTTCAATAAATTTTGAAGTCGTTTTATGTGTATATTCAAAGCATTGGTTTTTTCCTTTATCACTATTAAAAAGTACATCTTTCAACACTTCACCTAAATATCCTTTCTCAACACCTATTTTCAAGTAATTAGTTGATAACAATTTGGAGGGTGAGTGACAAACAAAAACTGTTAAATATTAAGAATTAATACAAAACAGAATTCTCAGTAATTATTGGGGAAAAACTGTAACAAGTTTTTTTTGTTTAACATATACATTCAAAGTGTAATACTACTTTCAGCAGTCAGTATTTGTCACTGATTTTTTTTGAACTGGTTTAACCACAACTACTTGTTCCATTCATTATACATAAAATGCATGAATTTCAACTGTATTCGTCTCGTTATTTCAAATGATAGACAAGGAGAAAACTATCACGAATGCATTATTCAACATCATGGTAAACAATAACTTATTTTATGATAAAGTGTGTGTGTCTATACGAAGTTGAAAATAGCCAAGCCAGGTAGAATATGCTCACAGTTGGGAAATTGTGGATTGAAATGTTGAGTTAACAGCCATTATCAAAATTCTAAAGACTAAATTTCACTTCCAACTGATTAATTAACAAAGCAGACTAGAAAATGTGAAAAAACAAACTAATTTTTATTCTTTTCAATAGGAAAATTCAATATCACTACAATGCACTGCATACCACTGGTGGACAAGATATACAAATTAGTGGTAAGTTGATAGAATTCATCATTGTAAATAAACGAATTTAAATTTACAGCATGATTTAGTATTACGCGGTTGTGAAGATTGTTAAGTTTTATTGAAAACATGAATCGATCAATGTTAGACCACCATTAGAAACCTGGAAGCACTGGACGGCCGTTTCGTCTTGGTATGGGACTCCTCAGCAGTGCGCATCCACGACTCCGTTAGATACCGGCTCAGTGGTCCGATGGTTAGGCGTTCGCCTACAATACTGAAGGTCCTGGGTTCGAATCCTGCGGGATGCAGGAGTCGTGGATGCGCACTGCTGAGGAGTCCCATACCAAGACGAAACGGCTGTCCAGTGCTTCTTCCAGGTTTCTAATGGTGGTCTAACATTGATCGATTCATGGTTTCAACAAAGCATGATTTAGGCTAGTAGTTACTTAGTTAAATATTTTATTCACTTAAGTATTCAATACAGATATGACTTTATTGTTCTTTATCGTAAATTGACAAAAAAAATACTTGAAACCTGGAAATGACTTGAAAATGAGTCAACTGTCATCAATCAAAAAAAAATTTGGTGATCATGATTTAAATCCACTACTTATGGTCATTGTATCACACTCGATAGAAAGTTTCAAATAAGAACGTAACAGTTGTTCTGTGCCTTTTTTTTCCCATTTTCAATGATCATTTAGCCAATGCTGTCTTCGTGAATATAACCTTTTAAAAAATGATTTAATCTGATAAGAGGGAGAGAGAGAGTGAGAGAGAGAGAGAGAAATAACCTAGAGTTCAATAATTTGACAAATGTTAACTGTAAATCGATTTTTTGACAATATTAACATACCTATCGTATTTACGTCAGTGAGTGAAATCAACTTGAAGTCATATTGTCTACTATCACTAATCATAAAAGTTCTGTTATATAAATGTAAATTAGATATTTTTGTAATCGTCCTAGTTTTCATTTGAATTAGAAAGTATAATAGTGTAAGAATAAGTCACCGTGTTTGACAGTAGATTTGCATTTTACAACTGTCTTCATGTATACTGTAGATAATGTGCAATAGTAGACTTCAGGGAGCATGATTTCAGTCAAATATATTTAGATTGGTGCATTCGTATTCTCATATAGCACCCGGTTACACCAAGAAACCAGATCATTATTTTCCAGACCATAAAGTCACTTAGTCAACGGGTATAAATGAACTATAGATAATTATCAGAATCTCACTAGGGAATATCAACACTGAACTACAGGGGTGTATCATGTTGTCGATTTTACTGGTTAAGTTCAATGTGTATTTGAACATCATGTCATGAAATCGACGCCTTAAAGTTATCAAAGTTGCATGTTTGTGTAGTATGATACTTTTTCCAGTATCTTGTATTTAAAAATGTATCTTTCCATAACTTATTTCCTCTTGTATCTGTAAGATTCTCTTTCGTATGAAGAGGTAGAACGTTATTTCCCCGAAGAAGGTTGTTATCGACCAATTGTTTTAGTAGGTAAGTTTCATGCCGTTTTGGTTTTATAGATTCGGTATTTCGGAAGTAATCAATATACATGCAATGAATAAAGTGATTGACACTAGGTGGTCGAGAGCAGAAAGTATTGAACATGGGTTTCATGTTAGCTAACACTTGTCAATAGGGTATATCTAAAACGTTGAGAGAGTTTTCGATCCCCTCCTTCTGGGCTTCAGATCAGTTTGATCCGATGTCATAATCGATACTTAATTTGTATTCAACACAATTATTAATTTAACTCCTATTGTATTTCATTTTGGCATATCAACAGTTAATCATTGATACATGACAGTAAATAGTATCGTATTTAAAATGAAATGTATGTTGCTTTACAAAACTTGGTGTGAAATGTTTGAAAAAGTTTGTGCGTTCAACACTAGTCTAGTTTGTTCTGTTGTATAATCGTTTCACACAATTTCCTCCGCTCACAATGTTTCGTTGGAAACGTGTTCATAGCCTCGTTTCTAAATTCAATTCGTTAATAATCAACTGGATGGTGAATCAATAGTCAGAAAAAACACAAGAAACTGATGAAATTCAATGTTATCATCAACATATTAGGTCAATGGTTGTCTGTATTTTGGGTTATCGATTCATTCCTCTCGGCCTTCACTGAGACAGATGATTAATTTGACAAGCGATACTTTATTTAGTGCATTAGCTACCTTGATAAACCTCAACATCTGATGAATTTCCTGAAAGGTCTCCTCAAGTTTCATCGAAATTTTCTGTAACTTAGTTGATATATCTGTTGGATTTATAATAAAGAATTCAAGCGGTACAGATATCTGTATATAAATTTTGCAAATCTTATTTTATCTTGTATCTTAAAATAGGACCAAGTGGTGTAGGCAAGTCAGAATTAATTCGTCAATTAATTAGTACAGATCCTGATCATTTTCGTGAACCAATCAGAAGTGAGTAATACAATGTTTTTTTTGCATATACGTTCATTTTATCATTGTTCAAAAAAAATATTTTCAAGTTCATATTAACTTCATCTATGGCGAACAGGAGTAGCACTAGTTTAAGCGTTAAGATATTTTAGGTCAATGTCTAAATTCACAAAATTTATGTACATTATTAACCAGAAGGGGAGTCAATATAGATAAACTTTTGATGTATAAAGTAGAATTTCAAATCTACTTTTATTCTATTACTACTTACTTAAGCCTGTTACCCCCAATGGAGCATAGGCCGCTCACCAGTTTTCTCCAACCAACTCTGTCCTGGGCTTCCCTCTCCAATTCTGTCCATTGTTTGTTCATTCCTCTCATATCTTTCTCTATTTCTCGGCGTAGTGTGTTCCTTGGCCTTCCTCTATTCCTTTTGCCTTGAGGGTTCCATGTGAGGGCTTGTCTCGTGACGCAGTTGGGTGCTTTTCGTAGTGTATGTCCTATCCACTTCCACCGCTTCTTCCTGATTTCCTCCTCCATTGGAATCTGACTTGTTCTCTCCCACAGTTCGTTGTTGCTGATGGTGTCTGGCCAACGAATACGAAGTATTTTGCGTAGACAACTGTTAATAAACACTTGTATCTTATGGATGATGGCTTTCGTAGTTCTCCAAGTTTCCGCTCCATATAGTAGAACTGTCTTCACATTTGTATTGAAAATCCTGATTTTGGTTTTGTTTGAAAGTTGTTTGGAGTTCCAGATATTTTTCAACTGTAGAAATGCAGCCCTCGCTTTGCCAATCCGCGCCCTCACATCTGCATCCGATCCACCTTTCTCGTCGATGATGCTGCCAAGATATGTAAAGTTGTTAACGTCCTCGAAAGCATCTCCATCAAGCGTGATTTGATTGGTGCATGTTGTGTTGCATCGGAGAATTTTGCTCTTTCCTTTATGTATGTTGAGACCTACTGCTGCAGAGGCTGCTGCTACACTGGTCGTCTTCTCTTGCATTTGTTGTTGAGTGTGCGATAGAAGAGCCAGGTCATCTGCGAAGTCCAGATCGTCCAGCTGCGTCCTAACTGTCCAGTTGATACCGTGCTTCCCTCCAGATGTTGACGTCTTCATAATCCAGTCGATGACCAGGAGAAAGAGAAAGGGTGAGAGTAAGCAACCTTGCCTGACACCGGTCTTCACCTCAAACGAGTTTGTCAGCTGACCTCCGTGCACGATTTTGCAGTTGAATCCATCATAAGAATTCCGTATGATGTTGACTATTTTCTCAGGCACACCGTAGTGTCGAAGAAGCCTCCACAGTGTTTTCCTATCCACGCTATCAAATGCTTTCTCGTAGTCGATGAAGTTGATGTAGAGTGGTGAGTTCCATTCAATTGATTGTTCCACAATGATCCGTAATGTAGCAATTTGGGCAGTACATGATCGATCCTTACGAAATCCGGCCTGTTGATCTCGAAGTTGAGCGTCTACGAAGTCTTTCATTCTGTTTAACAATACTCTGTTGAAGACTTTGCCTGGTATTGAAAGAAGAGTGATGCCTCTGTAGTTCTCACACTTGCTGAGATCGCCTTTCTTTGGTATTTTGATCAGGTATCCTTCTTTCCAATCTGATGGTACTTGTTCCTCATCCCAAATCTTCTTGAAGAGGATGTGAAATATTTTTGCAGTTGCTTCTACATCTGCTTTCATTGCCTCTGCTGGAATGTTGTCTGGTCCTGCTGCTTTGCCGCTCTTGATTTGTCTGATGGCCATACTGATCTCCTCAATCGTAGGTGCGCCAATATTAATTGGGAGGTCCTTGGATGCTGCTTCGATGTTGGGTGGGTTCAGTGGAGCTGGTCGGTTCAGTAGTTCCTTAAAGTGCTCTACCCACCTATTTCGCTGTTCGTCAGTGTTGCTGATTATTTTCCCTTCCTTGCTTTTCACTGGTCGTTCTGGTTTACGATAGTTCCCGGCGAGCTTCTTTGTTGTTTCGTACAATTGTCTCATGTTTCCTTCTCTTGCAGCCTTTTCCGCCGTCATTGCTAGATCTTCCACATATTTTCGTTTGTCAGCTCTGATGCTCTTCTTCACTTCCCTGTTTGCTTCTGTGTATGCAGCTTGTGTGGTAACTTTCTCTGCTCTTGTTCGGCTGACATTCACTGCTGCCTTCTTGTTCCTCCTTTCTTGAATTTTTTCAAGAGTACCAACAGAGATCCATTCTTTGTGATGGTGCTGCTTGCGACCAAGGACCTCCTGACATGTTGAAGTGATTGCCTCCTTAATCCCTTTCCAATTGTTCTCCAATGTTGCTTCCTCTCCATTGAGTAGATCCTGAAAGGCCTGGAACCTATTGGTGAGGGCTATCTTGAATTCGTTGAGTTTTACGGTATCCCGAAGAAAGGCTGTATTAAACTTCTGTGATGTTGTCTGCCCCGTTGTCCAGTGCTTCTTTAGCTTCAATCTCATTTTGGCGATCAGCAAGTGGTGATCTGAAGCTATATCAGCTCCTCTCTTGGTTCTCACATCCTCCATGGTCCTTCTGAACTTTTTGTTGATACAGATATGGTCAATTTGGTTTTGAGTAGTGTGATCCGGTGAAATCCATGTGGCTTTGTGAATGCGTTTGTGCGGGAATATTGTGCCACCGATGACCAGTTTGTTGAAGGCACATAGGTTTGCAAATCTCTCACCGTTTTCGTTTCTTTCTCCCAGTCCATGTCGTCCCATGATGTCTTCATATCCAGTGTTGTCCATGCCAACCTTGGCATTCAGGTCTCCCATAAGAATCGTTAAATCCTTTGGTGAACATTTATCGACGATTGACTGCAGCCTTTCGTAGAATTGATCTTTATCGTCGTCATTGTAGTCGTTGGTAGGTGCATAACATTGGATGACGTTCATTGTAATGTCCTCTTTCTTTGTTTTGAAGGATGCTTTGATGATCCTAGGTCCATGAGATTCCCATCCTATCAGTGCCTTTTGTGCATGTTTGGACAGCATCAGTGCAACTCCTTGTGTATGTGAAGCGTTTTCCTCTTCATGACCAGAGTATAACAGCAGTTCCCCTGAAGCAAGTCTCAGTTGTCCAACCTGTGTCCAATGCGTTTCACTGATGCCGAGCACCTCGAGGTTGTATCTTTTCATTTCTGCCGCAACTTGAAATAGTCTTCCAGTTTCCCACAATGTACGAACGTTCCATGTACCTAAAAAAATGGTTGCTCTGGTTGTCAGAAGAGGCATCGGCCCTGTGACTTCCGAGGGAACTCGGCTTTCATCACGAGACGTCATAATTCTTCTTCCAACTCCCAGGGCAGAGTTAAAATGGTTTGAATTATTTTTTCTGGTTAGCGTTTTTTGGCAAGTGAGATTTCAACGGAATGGGGTCGCCAACCCCATGTCCAACCCTCCTCCTTTATCCGGGCTTGGGACCGGCAGTAGCCCCTAAGGTTCTACTGGCGGAGTTACTTTTATTCTATTAATGGATGACAAATGAATCTACTTACATTCATACTGGGAATCTACTTACATTCATACTAGATTCGGTTAACATCCAAATTGTCAGTGTATTTTGTATCTTTTATAATTTAATAAGAAAAAAATTGGTCACTTCATTTAAGTAAATTACCTAAAAAGAAACTTTAAGGATAATGATGAAAATTCTTTCAAAAAGTAATTATTGAGGTGGTAATCCTGTATGTTGACGCATTTATTATCTAACAGTCTAATAACCATTCAGGCACAACAGATCGCATATTCATTTGATCTTTACTTACGCCTGTTACCCCCAATGGAGCATAGGCCACCGACCAGTTTTCTCCAACCAACTCTGTCTTAGGCTTCCTGACGCATATTAACTGTCAAATCAAATTCACAACAATACAGGTGTATTCAGTTGAAAAGTAATCAAGGACTTGAGAAACATCAAATATTTTAAATAAACTACACAAGTCAGTGGTTGGTGCACTAAAGATGGAAATATTGATTAAGTGGATTGGAATTAGATTTATCTTACTTTTTTAATGTGTAGTTTATTGTTTGATCTAGTTGAATTCTCAAGTTTCTTTTCGTCACTCAATAACGATATTTCACTACCGAGAAGTAATCAGCATTACATTCATCTAGTCCTTGATACTGAATAAATTAGATTGTGGTAGTCAGTTTAAGTGATTTGACATAACGTGCACTGTACCAGGATGGTGGAGAGTTAGGAGCAATCCACTAGAAGGCCTTGACATATATTGAACTCATCATCAATGTGTGGCTCGCATGTTGACGGAAATGGCGTTCACTGTTTTGTTCAAACTCAGTTTTCTCAATGTTGTTTGAAATTTAACACTGTATTATTCAGGCTACGGTTGTTCTCCCTGAGAACAGGGTTTTTTCTTATTGATCACTGGGTAGCAGCAGATGTCTTATCTGAGCAACAGCTAACATAGAAACTATATCCATCAGAGCTTCCTTCCGGCTACCACAAATCACTTAACATATTGACGTTTAAGAAAAAATAAAATATAGACAAATGATATTTGTTTGGTGAATTTATTTTCTACACATAAACATTGGGTTATATTATAAGTGTATTCTTTGCTGTAATAAATTAAATCAGCCATACTTTTCTCATTGAAAAAATACACAACAAGTAACCACACAAGAACCGAAATCTGAAGAAGTGCATGGCGTTGATTATTTATTTGTAACTAAAGAAGAATTCAATACATTCATGGAAGCTGATAGGTTAGTTCACTTTTCTTAAATACTTTGTATTAAGCAAAATATCTTTTTTTGATAATGTGACTTGTGTAGACTTCACTGAAATAGCGAGTTCTGAAAAATCAGATACTGCCGAACTGGTCTTTCTAGTTTGTAACATTTCATCATTGATCAGTAACAAATAAGCCTTGAATTCAACACAAAACCTTCTGTGTTTCCTGACGAGAATGATGTATTATTAGCCGTTTTTTTGCCATTCAACGGTATTCCATTTCAACTTCAATTATACAAAGTCTAATACCTATCGACTGTAACTGATCAGTAGCTGTCTCGATCTAAACCAGGTTTTTGATAGTTGCACTAGTGACATTCATAAACGATGATGAATTATTTGTGAGTTATGTACTGATTTACTCACAATTTACTTGTTTTAAAAGCAAAGGACGTGTAGTCTTAGTTAATCTCGACCACATAATACACAATTAATGTATATGTCTATTTTTAATTATTGCATAAGTTGAACGCAACAATTCTAAAATATCACTGTTATGTTGCACTCAATTGCCATTTTCACTTCAGATTGTGAATATTAAGAAAACTTGATTTGATAATCTAGTTTTCTCAAAGTAACAAGACCATATTTTGCACAGAATGTTTTGTATATAACTGTTTTAGTCACTAACTGGTCTAAGAGTGTTCAAAGATAGTTATTAATAAATATTTAAAGTAAAATTTTCACCTTTCCCTTATAAATTTTTGAATGGATTCTATTAATGGAATCTAGGGTACATATTTGATCTTGTTTAATAGTTGTGATCTCGATTTACCTATGTGTATCCAGGTATTGTTATTCACACTGATCGATTAACACAATAGCACCCATTAAATCAAGTAGCGAAGTCTCGTTAGTTGTCTATCCGTACAAAGCGTATGCCATTTGTTATTAATTCTAAGAGCTTCTGCCTCGGGTTTACCCTTACTTGGCTTTGAAACGGCAGCTACTACGTTTGTGTGTCATGTTGGGGATATCAATTATGGATTGAAGCATTGGTTCGGAACAACATGAAACAGTGATCTTTGATTTCATTGTGAACAACCGTTTGAGGTATTTATTCAATTCATAAATTCCAAGAAATATCAAAGTATTTCAGTAAAAAACCTCTGTTCCATCTTAAATTGATCAGGTTAAATACATTCTTCAACTATCTAACCAATTTTTCAACCCAAGTATGAATTATGGTGTATTATTTTTACTATTCAGTTGTTAAAACTGATCCTACTTACAGTGTAATATTTAATTAATTCTTCTTTCTGCAAAATACCTTCCTAGCCTTATAGATCCTAGTGAAGTGTCAAAAAATTATATGACAGGATTGTGTTTGGATGCAGTATTAGAAATTATTCAGGCTGGTCAAGTGGCTATTTTCGAAGCAGATTATCGTGTAAGATTTTGTTTGTAATAGGAGTTTTTTTTTTTGAAAAATTAACATATTTTTAAATCTATAGATTCTAGACTATTGGTTGATTTGTTTTTATCTTACCACATTTCGGTGCATGTAATACTTTTCCATCGTTGAAGTAAATTTAAAAATCATGTCGATTAACAGTTTTGGCGTAATTTTTAATAATAGTGAACACTATTTCTAGAATCACTGAAAGCCAACTAATACTGTTGGACATTTGTTTCTTCATAGATAAGGACTGTTTACCATATCAGGTTCTCAAGATTTTACACGGAACTCTAAGACCTAAATATCTTTTAGTGGGCATAAGCAACAGACAGTAACCATACCCTTATTTGTGGCTCATTTCACTACGGATTTTCTAAAACTTTAGTGAGAAACCACGATCTATGGATTCAGTAATGTTAGATATTGGAACAGTAACTTAACTGTGACATTTAATACTGTTCATGACAAATGATAAATTAATTGGAGTTTGGAAATCTGAACCACTGAAATCCATACCAATGGTTCAAACGTTATCATATCTAGTGAAAGACATAAATCTAAATATTTTGGCTTAGGTTTTGAATAGTGTTATAACTGTGAATTACTTGGTCGTAAGGCGGATGTTACTTTTGTATTGAAGATGCATAGGATTCCGGGGAATTTTGAAATCAAATAGTTTCATGCTAATAGAGTGGAGATTAGATTGTGAATCGAGTATATATGAATTATTATTACAAACCAAGCCCCATTAAATATGATTTTTTTTTAAAACTGATTAAGGTTCAGTATGTCAGCTGTTAGAATTCAATCGCATAAGTGAATGGTTAATGTATTTTCGATGTGATCTCAGAATACAGTTTTCAATATATATTGAACTAATAAGTGTAAACAACTGAACAGATTTATAAAGTAAAATGAATTTTGAATATTGAACTACAGTTCTATAATGCTTATGTGATTGTTGGTTATTTTTCAAAACGTGATGATTTACTGTAGGTTGATAGTATGATGCCAATTTATTCCCGGTTGTGTTGTCATAAAATGACTGATCTTATCTATTTCCGATTGATTAATTTGACCAAGTATTATGTGAACCATCCACCACTGATGAATTAATGATCATCCGATTGCTTGGATAATCAAATAATATAAGCTTCATTCGAGCATTTTTAAAATAAGAGCTTGCAGAACTTATGTCACGTTTTTGTGTGTGTTTGTTGTGAATAAGCAACGAAAAAATATTCAATGTTCAAATTTCAAACCTTACTTCACCGATACATTTTAATCTGCTTTTCAGAATTTAGTATCACTTAGGACATCGACATTGAAACCGTTCATAATTTTTGTTAAGCCACCAACATTCGATGTTTTACTAGAAACACGACAATTATATAATCCTAAAAGTAGTAATCATAATGTATCAACAATATATGACACTTCGAATGTGGAATTATCACCAACACATTCTGTACCAACCACACCACATTTGAATAATCGTACTGCTGGTGGTTGTTTTACACCTGTAAGAAACTGTCAACAATGGAGAAAAATCTCCGGTGAATTAGGACAGGAGAAAAATGCAATGTTCTCAGCGCCATCATTGTCAGCTTCATCATCTTTGGACAATATAATGGCTATGGAAATGCAGAAGAAAATGTCTTTGACAGTAAGTGTCAATCACTTTTATTATTATCATCTTTTCATTTTTATTCACAACAATATTTTAAAAGTAATTTTATGTACAAACTGATATCAGGCGAAGAACTACGTGCAACTACAGAACACTGAACCACTTACTATCCATCCCTATCATTTGACTTCCAGGTGTCAGTTGTTTTGTCAAAAACGCAATAACGGGGAAACGTTCTCCTGAATTATATGATTAATAATATAAATCACAGCATGTAAAATGTATTAGAAACTTGTATATTACTATTTTATCGAATATAAGCGATTATTACCAGAAAGGGAAAAATTAAGCATAATGTTTAGGAAATTTATAGATTGTTCAAGATGAACAAGGACTAGTACACTAAAAAGAGACAGAAAGTAAGTAAACCATTACAAGTTTGAAAAGAAACGAAAACATTAAAATGGAGAGAGTCAAAAAGATAATTGGAGTGAAATAAAAAGATATTACTCTTTGTATTTTTAGACGGATTGGTTGGTAATTTATGGGAAATCCATGAATCTAGGTTTCCTGCTACTTGACACTCATCATATCAGAACACGCGACTGTAATCATACAGAAACTAATGAGCTCGTGAATTTCGAACATCCACGTCACAGCTAGAGATGTAAGCACTCTACTACACTGAACTGAACCCTTACTGAGTTGAAATTTGCACACAAATTAATCAGTCGGCTGTAATCTAAGCCTTGATGTATAATTTTCCTGGTAAACGAATTCAGTACCAACGCCTTTGAATTTGAAATTGGGATATTGCTTCAAATCTAACTGCATGTGTCCATTCTCTCGAATATTGCAAATGTCCCTTTTTTATGAGCACCAGTTGTCATGAAACTGAGAAGAAGGGTTTCCTGTTGATTGTCTCTGACTTCCTAACATCGATCGAAATATGCCACAAGTCTCATCACTCAATCTAGACATCAAACTGGAATTAAGCAATGGAATTCAGTCAGTATTATTGTTTAAACAGGCATAACTACTATAATTTGATGTGAATCGGGAATTTATTTTCTAATGTTAGTCAGACTAATTAATTGCTGTATGGAACGATGTAATGATAAAGTAAAATACCTTTGTATTATGAAGAAATCATTCGAGTTAAAATTTTAGTGTGTACGAATTGATTGTTCTGTTTTCTATTTATACAGGAAACCCAGTTTCATGAAATGATTCAAACTGCCTCTCGTCTAGAAGTAACACACGGTCATTTATGGGATTTTGTTTTAATCAATGATGACTTGCCAGTGGCCTTGGAACAGTTGTCTGAAATAGCTTATCGTATTGAAACAGAAGCGTTTTGGATACCGAAAATTTGGTTGAATTCAACAAGTAATGAATTAAATGCAGAGAATAGTCGGTCTTATGTAGATGCCTCAGTGAGCACAGTGACTACAACTGCTGTCCAGTAAAGGATTTTTATAAATTCTTGTCTTTTTGTTAGAGAGCCAAGGGATAACTCTCTCTAATCGTAGAAATGCATTTATGTCTGTTCTTAATTTTTAATTTTGATAATTGAACTAATTTCCTGCCTCACTACTTCTGTGTTTTCAAAGGTATTTTAAACTTGACTTTTTAACACTCGAAAACAATGATGGTGTTTAGCACATGGATTCCTTCAATTGAATTTGTTATTTCATATAATTAACTAATTTCCTCTTGAATATTTTACGGTTTTCTTTTTCTAACTTTTATTACTAATTTGTAAAATAAAACCGATATTTAATTTTTACTCACTTCTTTGTTGAACTCTACTAATCGATTACCGAATGGACTGTCCATTACTTTACCTGGTCCAGTCTAAACGTTCGATTACCAAAATAAGTAACTTGGCATTATAATGGCTTGAATGTTGCTGTGAGTGGTTGAAAGTAATCAGTAAGACATCTGACACGTTTCACTATAAATGTGAACGTTTATGACTCCACATAGTAGTCGGAATCCGTATGAGATTTGAATGACTTTCTGTACTCCCTAACTACTTGACATAAAGTGTGTTTTAATAATTTTCAAAAATTTATGTTTAAACAGTTATTGTATACTACTAATTCTTAATGTATACTCTTTACGATCTGGAGAGAGAAATTTACAAAAGTGTCGACTGGTTAGGCTTTGAAATTATTGCTTATGCGTAAGTCGACGTTCATGTACGTATTTTATTTGTTGCCTTTTTACCATAAAGGTTTGGCTTCAAAATCTGACTTCTGACTGAAATCCTAACTTCATTTCAGTTACCTAGTACTGTCGAGAAGACAAGAGGTATTGCTGACATTTGATCACATTGCCCTGTTGCGGTTTGCATCAGTTGTACGTAAATAAAGTAATAATAAGATTAACCTGTCATCAAACTACGTGCTGTACATTTGACAACAGACTATTAATAATAATAATAATAATAATGATAATTAAGTAGTAGCTCATGTGTTATGGAACTGATTTAGTGTTTCGTAAATCAGTTGCTAACCTCCAATACAAATAACAGGGTTTACAGCGTGAATTTGTCGCACACAACATGAATGTGAGTTATTTCTTTTTTATTCTGTTTACACGTCACATATCATATTTTCCCGCACCTCTCTTGAGTGCTGTAGCTTGAATTGATAGGGATTTTATTCTCATTTCAATGACACTGACCTATTATGATGTAATACTCGTGTCTTTTAACGTGGATCTTCAAACCCAAAGCAATCACTATCTAAATGTAAATAATCTTTAGGTTGCACTTTGACTATACAGTAGCGAAATTCCTGGTATTTTGTTAATTATTATTTTCCCATAAGTTTTGGCACAAACATACAAGTTATCAGCATTTGTGATACCCGTATTCGACCAATAGAATGCAAGATTTTTCAGTTTTTATCAGTGTTTATCAACGAACAATGTACAACTTCCTCTACTACTACTACTACTACGTCAGTTGACACGTTTTATTACTAAGGGCTTGCGAGACTGACTACTAACGGTAGTTTAACGGGTCTGTCGGATTTTTTTTTTGGAAAATAGGAATGACAATCGACTTGCTTGGTTCATGATAATGATTCATACTTATTAAAGATACTTAGTTCACATTATCATCAGTGATATAAGTATATGTCGCTTGTTTTATAAAATAGATAGTCGGGGCAGATGTCGTAAGATGCAAATGTAATATATATTTACAAAATGAAACTTGATTTCAGTCTGATGTTATTTATCAGAATTTAGTAACAACAGTCTTAAAAATTACTTATTACTTCAATGTTGATAGGACTTCACAATTTATTAAGTGAAGAATACTTTGATTTTAATGTTCATTACGTAACAGATAAAATGTGGAGACAAAAAGGAAAAGTATCTAACATAAATGCGTACAATAAATACACATGTCTGATTACACTGAATATCATGTAATTTTTCTTTCTAATTTTAATGTATGGATATTTGTTCAGGAAAGAGAACACCATCAGAAAGGAATCTGTTTCTTTAGAAATTCGTTCAGGGAATCTTTTAGTTGAATTATGCATGATTCGTTTCATATGATTAGTCATTTTCAGCATCGACGTCTTAGGTGGTGTCATGATTATTCATTCTGAAGATTAATGTCTCGCCAATGTCGATTAGATTAGACTGTTTATAATCTTTCTGACTGACTCTTCACCATACAGTCAAATCAATCCAACTGTGACTGGCCTTCGACAGATGTCTTGTAATGTTATCATCTCATTTCTGTCTTTTTGATTGACGACGTATTCATGAATGGTATAAAAATGACTAGTTGTATGGCTCGTACAGTCTTCATCTATCGTTTTCAGTTTGTCAATGGCGTTACAATCATTCAATATTTGCTCTTAATTACCCTGTTGACTAATAGTGTTTTTGATTTAATGGAGATCCAAGTTGCAAAAAAAATTTTTCTTTAAACGTGATTTGCTTCTTCTCATTTACGATTTTTTCCTGGAATGAACTCAACTGTGGGCTTACCGACGTCAATTTTTAAATGTAAAATTGGACTATTCAATTTGAAAATTGATCGGAAAGTGTTGATTTCATGTGAAAGTTGCGTTGTAGCTGCTTCATTGTTAATGAATAAGCTGTGAAATTGACTATACGATTTGATTTTTGATTCAACAAGTGTATAATTCAAACTATTGATTCCGTCGAGACGATATCTTACTTTTGTGAAAGATAATATTTGATTTCTGAAATGAAGTAGTAAATTACATGAAAATACAAAAATGGAAGCAATTTTTTTATATCTAGATGTAATATATTGTAAGGTATACCATGGATGTGATATATATATAATGCATCAAAATAATGACCGTATAAAGTATTTCACAAATTAATTATGACTAGGCTTCCGATAGTGTAATGAGGTTTAACAGAGTATTTACTTCCGTCACACTTATATAACATATAGTTAGCTATAATTACACTATGTATCAATATTATCTAATGGGTTAAGAGATATGAAAGCACACAATTATGGTATAGAGATAACAAGATAATTAATGAGTGTGAAGAAACAAATTGACCCTAATTCTGTTAAATATAGATACACACAGAAAATTTTTTAATGATTAGCAATAGAACTTCTCAATGGAATCGTTCTGTCTACCCATTTTCGTTGGGTCAACCAATCGTTATTAGCTGGGTTCAAGTATGAATCCTGTGGTTAATTCAGTAATTGTATACCATCGAATAACTTATCTGGTAACATGTAAACTGTATCATTTTGCGCATAGTAAGTGATTTGTGCTTTGTGTTTGTTCAACAAAGAAAATGCTTAGTGTCATGCTAATATTTAAAACATACCTTAAGTCTGAATGGAATGCAAGACTTGGTTTATGTTTGAGCATTGTGAATTGTGCTATATTTGGATCAGGACGAATGACAGGAATTTCGTTTATCGTAAGCCTGTGAAACATTATTTGAAAAAAAATGAATAATACCAGTGTACTAGAAAAATAAGAAAGTTGTAAAAATAAAACAGTTAATAAGAATTTAGAGAATTATCTTTGGGTTTTATTCCATTTCTTAAGGATATTATTCATTCTGCATAAATGTAAGTCTTTTATCTTAAGAATTACAGTCAAACCATGATTCATTTGCACATACATTTGCCTGGTTGATGTATTATTTCGAATAATACAATTCTATCAATAAGGTTTTGTTATCGAACATAATATTTCATAATATATCACTCATTGTTATGAATACGTTTCTTTTCTCTACATTATATCACTTATGAACTCATGAAAGTTAGCTGTCTCATGATAGTCTCTAGTTCTCAGTTGATCATGTCAGTCAGAATCGAACTCAAATTCTCAATACTGGCACTCTGGTTAGTCTGATAGCCATCTTTCAATCTATGTTAGCTTATGTTATTGAGTTGACTAAGAACAAAATACTTATCATCATTCGTAAGGACGCAGGTGATGTTGAAGAGTCGGGAAGTTTGAGCATTTATGCAATCAAACTTCTATATATCACACATAGATTTTGCTTTATCAGTGAGGCTAATTAAGCTAATTTTATTGAACTTGTGGAAAAATAATTCGTACATACAAACATGTCCACACTCACTTATTATGAGTAATCATTATTTATACAAAAAAAGCGCTCACCTTTCATACATATCATCATCTTCTGCACCCCAGCCCCAAAATAAATTGGAATATCCATTGACATGAAGAAAAGCTTTAAGCGGAATCGATAACACTCCACCTATTAGTTCAATGTAAGGAAGCCTTAAAAACGAAATATAAAACAAAACAAAACCGAATCAAATTAAGATTTATCTCAAATAACACATCTATTTCTGAATTGTCTAAAATAAACACAGTTTGTCACATGGTCAGCTATTTTTTTTAAAAACAATGCTAAATGTAGAAGGAATTAACATCTACTAATTAATTTATATCTCTAAAATATTTGAATCAAATAGTATGCTTAGTTCAGTTGATTTGTAGGTGAGTTTTCAATTTAGAAGATAGTTCATACCATAAGCCGATATATTTCTGAAGGATTATTAAAGCCTAGGGACTGGCCATCATATATTATGCTCCAGTTTATGACCCTACAGCACTATACATTCATAGTTTTAAATTACTTTCAAATTTAACAGATTTTTATAAACTAAGTCATAATCGTATATTCATTAATAACAAATTTCAAGAGGGAACTTGGTAAATCCTAAAAAGGTATCACCAATGAAATCAACCATATCGAAATTTGCGCGCGAGACCGAAGGCCCTGGGTTCAATTCCCGTGTGCAGGGGTTGTGGATGCGGATTGTTGAGGAGTTCCACACTAAGACAGAAAAGCGGTTCAGTGCTTCCAAGTTTCTAATGGTGGTCTAACTTAGGTCAGTTCGTGCTTTTAACTGTGAAAATAATACAATCTCCATAAATCCGTTTCATTAATAAATTGATTACGGTTGTCTGGAAAAATGCATGTGTTATAATGATTGATTCTGTAAACCATAAAACCTCTTTATCTATCTCAAACTGCTTTTGTATGAAATGATTGTTGATGATTCTGACAAAACGTAATCTTTATTATTCATTCAGCCCACTCAGTCATGCATAAAGTAGAACCTGGTTTATATGTGCATCGGTTTAAGATGCCACTTTTCATCCAGTCAGTTAGAAGATGGACTGTAAAATGAAGTGATATGTATCAAATAGTAATAATAGATACCTGTTTTGAAATTTATCCACACTAATACTTATATGTTTGGGATAGATTGAACATGTATAATCTACTTCATTGTTCATTGGTAACAGATCGACATCGTGAAATATTGCACAATGAAATGGCAACCAATTCAATGCTTCCACAAAAGCAGTATTCATGACTATTCCCTTATTAAATGGCTGCTGATCAATCTGTAAAAAAAGGATAGTGATATTTTTCAAGTTGAAAACAAATTATTTGGATGGATTTAAACATGACATTTGACAGATAATCAACAGTGAATAATTCAACTTATCCATAAACATACCTGTTCAGAAACAATTAGTAGATAACATAAATTCTGTTTAGTCAGTAGTTCAACCAGACGTGGAATTAACTTCATCAAATGTTCTGCACGATTTCGATATGGTATAATAATGACGCTACGTCGATTAAATGGTTGGTTTAAAATTAAACAACTATTTCGACAGCCTTCACTGTTGAACAAATGATGAGTCCCATTCAAAACTAGTGATCAACAAAAAACCATGAAAAGATTATCAATTTAAATTAATAAGCTTCATTTCTTGTCTAATATTTTGGTTAATTAATAGCTTGATGTAAATTAACGACAAATTTCTTCTAGTTAAAAGTAGAACTAATTGAAACAAACCTGAACGTTTTTTAGACTTTGAAGTGTGAATTGCTGAAGTTTTATTTAGTTTAAAGATAGCTTCCATCACCAAACTAATAATGGTTGTAAAACTATGTAAGTTAGTCAGTCAGTCAGTTACAACGTAGAACTTCGTACGTACGTACATGAGTTCAGGTTACCATACCACATTAGCAGAGAGATGCAATTGCCATTTTAAATTCCATAATGGTGAAGATAAAAGAAGTAATAGCGGTAATGAAGAAGATTAGTGTTCGAAGATATTATTCAAGAAGTATAATTCTGTGAGATAAATTTAGAAAGAGGAAGATAGAGGTGATGAGGGATTCGGAACATTAGGATTTCAAAAAACACAAAGAGTGGATGCAACTGCTGCTTTGCAAACGATTTTGAGCAATGTCGTCCAAGATCTCTCACCGTCTGTTACTATCGTCTCGCGTACCCCAACCAGGTAGTCTACACTTGCCAACATGACTCATTCCACTTGTCAGTGACTTCATGGATTTCTGCCATGTTTTGGTTTGGCCGCCCCTAGCTTTCTTCCAACCTACTCTCACACCTCAAAACATTGCTCATCGAATCAGTTGGTAGGTAGACATACGTAACACATGTTCCAATCACTTCAACTGATGAAGTTTCAATATTTCATCTATTGATCTGCCATCCTCACCTAGAACTCGTTTCCTAACGACAGCATTGCTTATACGGTTGTCCCAGGATACACGAGCAATGCTTCGAAGACATTTATGATAGAATACTGATAGCCCAAGAATGACCTCTGCTCTTACTGGCCATGTTTCACGGCCATAAAGTTGGACGGAGCGAACTGCTGCACAATAAGCCCATCCTTTGGTTAGCAAACGGATATCTCGCTTGCGCTATAAGTGACGCAAGTTGGCAAAAACCAGTTGAGCCTTAAGTATCCAGGTCATCAGCATTGATGAGACTCCCGAGATCAGTGACGCGGTCGACACGCTCAACTACTTCACTCCCTATCACTAGTTCAGGTACCGATGCAACCCAATCCTCAATCAACATTTTGCATTTCGGCTGTGAGAATCACATCCCGAACATGCCTGCATTGCTGCTTAGAGTAGTCAGAAGACTCTGCATTTCGTCAGTATCTTCACAAAACTGAACTATCTGATCAGCATATTCTGAGTCTGCAAGCGAGTCTCCTGGTAGAAGATGATGTTAACTCTAAAAGCATGTCAATGTCAAAGTTAAAGCAGAATGGAGAAAGTGGACATACGTGACGGGCACCAAGTCTCTTAGAAACGATATATATCCCTGAGACGTTGAACGGGGATAGGACGGTTGACATTTTCAGTTTTGATCAACTCCCGGTATGGTGTACCTGAAGATCAGTATTACCATTAGGTGACTGTCTCATGCTTAAAATCAATAAACTCTATCAGTCACTAAATCTTTTAAGAACTTCGGTAAATTTATCGTAATTAATATACGATTATTGTTTCATAAGGTGATCTATGGAAATCGGTTGGATTTAAAGATAAGGCTCTTTACGTTTTTCTTTCTGTATCCAGTTCCTCACAAATTTCATTTGATCTCTACAATCACTCAACTGCAAGATTATCTTATGACCAGCAAATTAAATGTTAAAAAAACTAGACATACCTTTTAGACAAAATTCATTTTCATGTTTAAACCAATTTCTCACTACAGTGTCACCGACATCTTCCACTGTTGGAATGTCTGGACGTAAAAGTCGAGATAATTCATTTGTTATAAATAATGCAAGTTCCGAATCGATTTTAGGTTGGGACTTTGGGATATTCACAACAGAATATGATAACCATTGGTGAAATATTAAACATAGAAATAATGTGACACCACAAATGAAAAGTATGAAGGTGTAAAGGATTTTTTTCATTTCTTTAACAAATAATCTGTAAACGTTGCTTAATTTTGCCCGTGACTAAGATTTCGTAAATTGAACGAGAAATTTTAAATCAATATTTTTATAATCATCCAATCAGACAATAAATCTAAACCCGAAACTGATTGGCAGAAAGTGTGAATTTAACAGTTGACTAAGTTTTGTCCAATAGTAGCTGTATTAATGGTAATTGCTAGATTGCTTGAATTCATTCATGTTCGATAATAATTCATTGAAAACAGACAATGAATGTTAAGTTCAAATTGTAGCGAAACACTGTTAGATGCCATACAGCAAAATGCAAAGCTAGTTTAAATAATATTTTCATTATTAATTATTTATGTATAAGGATAACATAAATCGTATGGTATGAATCATGACAAAAATAACTTTATGAGGTTAACAGCTAGTACGCAGAAAATTATTGAATCTTGATTACGAATTATGAGAGATGAAAAGGCAAGGGGAATTTCAACACAAAAATTATGTGGTTTGACATGGTGGAGAAAATCTGTAGCTCACTCATGTGGATGATTGTGGTGGAGTTTCTCTCTATGAGCTGAATGCTTTGGTTGTGAAGCATTCGAATATCTTGTTCTGCTGACCTAGATCTTGATTGGTTGTTATTGCCCTTAAACCTGTCGTTGTCTGCCTCTTTATTTCGATCCCACCCCCCCCCTTTGATCTATTTCTTGATCCTACGTTTGTCGACGGTTTTTCTGATTGGTTGATAAGTTGGATCAATGTATATGTGTTTGTTGAATGCTGATTGACTCGAGTGCTAAGCTCCTAAAAATTCCCTAATGTTTTTTCTACTCCCTCTGCCTAGTGTTTCAACATTGTTCCAACCGAATGTATGTCCATAGTTGCTGTATGTATTGATATAATAAGGGAAGATATGTTATACTGTTCGACTGCAACTTAATGTTCAAGTAAACGAAGGTGAATAGGACGTCCAGTGTAGTGTTTTTCGCGGTCTAAAAAGTTTATTTTGTAGATGTTTGGTTTTTCTTCCTTTGTCATACACTTATTAAATTGAGCAGATGTCTTATGTGTCAGTTATTCTATGGAAAATAATTTAGGTGAGAACTTAAAAAACTACAAGGTGTTAACCACAACGAATAGTTTTCATTTTTTGTGGAGATTTATGGCTTGCTGGAGTTTCAGTTGATACTCTTCAGAAATTTGTTGGGTCCTTCTGTATTATTGCTTCTGTTGATCAAACAAAATAAATAGGAAATATGATACTTCCTAAAAGCTATTAGTCTTCTTTTTGATACTCTTATAATTTAATGATGATATACTGTTTGTCATTGAGTAGTATCTCCACTGTTCATCATAATGTCACCGGAAACTTGTTTTTAGCGTATAATATTGATATAGTCATCGTTGTATCCCTAACTGTTGACCAATATCTCGTGACCAATACAAACGCTAATCAGAATTACTTTTAGCACCAATACCCTTGAGTCAGCTCCAAATCCTTGTTGGTCCACAAGTTGATAGCTGATTTCTTCCCACCCTTCTTCATAGTCCTGAAGTTTGAAGTCAGCCTCCACAGAATCGGTTATATTTCAGGCAGACATTGTTCATACTCCAAACATATCAGACCACATCATACCATAAGTTAGTCCAAGTATATGTGTAAATAAGGAAATCATATATCATGGTTAGCAGTGGCATCAGAGCCCTAGAGACTTCTAGTCATTTTTAAGTCACACCTGACATCTGTTACTCTTTTAACTGCTTTTTGCTTTATTTGTGAATTTCAGACTAAAATTTCGCATTATGTTCTTAGTCACAGGAATTCATTCACTTCATATCCAAAACAATAACATCTTTAACTCAAATGAATTTATTGCAACGCAGTGTTGTCTGATTATAGTAAACGGTAATATATTATGATTTTTTGAAGAGTTTGTATGATTTTCAGACAACTTTTACATCAAAAAGACACATCCGATGCAGAGTCAGGAAGTATTGAATAGAAAATGATAATAATGCAGATATATATATATATATATATATATATATATATATATATATATTCCATAAAGCATGAAAGAGTTCACATAATTCAACAATCATGTTCATGATGATGTATCTAAGCATACGACTAACACTTTCTGTAAACATTACCTGTAGTGTTGTTTATAGGTATTTACTTCAAATCGGCAAAACATGTACCGTCGCTTGATTGAAACCAATGAGAAGTTCATAATTCAGTGAACAATGGTTTTGAGAGGGAAGCCTACACTTTCATGACCAAATATTATGATGGTAGACATCACCGGACACTTTGCTTTTTTACTGATCCAATCTGGAATTCCTACCTCCGACTTCAGGGATTTTCAATAATACCAGTTCTACAATTTGGGTGGGCTGACATCTCCAATAAAGTACGTAGTTAAGTGTCTGTATATCTGATGCTCCACTGAAAAGCAGAGCAACAGGGGAAACATGAAAATGTAAAAAAACCTTGATGTAGTTTTATAGTAGTTTAAAAATTGTCATCAGAGAGTATCAATAATTCCGCAGGGGGCCAAACCTTGGATGATCAGATCTTGTCACTAAAATGATATGGAACCTTTAAACCGATGTTACTTATTCGAAGCAGATAAGTAGTTTTATAAAGTTATATTTCATTACTTTGAAACCTGTTCATCATCCTTTTGACCATTTACTTGCGGATCAATAAATTTTGATCGAGACATACTAGCTAATATATCAAAAAGGTCAAACAGAAAAGATTGGATGGCTTCTCATTCAATGTACAAAAAGGGATTTCAACTCGGAATTATATTTTGTTTATTTTTTGAACAGTGCACTAGCTATACAAGTCACCTGCTTCGTTAGGACCGATCACAGCAAGTTTATAAATAAAAGACATTTTTATAAGTCTAGCAAATAAAACATCATGGTAAATTTATTACCACTACGGAAAGGTGATAAACGTTGGAGCCTTAGCCCGGTGACTAGTGAGCAGTCTAATTACGTCATTACTGTATTTTATGGACGATGAAAAATACACTTAGCTTCTCGAATTCCCTCACCTCCAGTCAGAACAACGAAAGGTGGGATAAGTAGCTAAGTATAAGTCTCATTATTACTATTACTGCTAACACTTGCAGCAGTATTAGTAAGAGGCGAAACAAAGATCACCACAATCAATAGATATCAATAGTTACTAAGTTGTGATATTTTTTAAAACGGAACTGAGTAACTGATTGACTTGAAATTAACAAACAATAAAATGTATGGCAACAATTATTGTATAAAAAGAGAAATTATAATTAAGGATGAAATAAAACTAACATAATCCAAATTTTTAGGTAATCATAAATTAGGAACGTAATAACTAACTCGAAAAATGATACACATTCAAAATTCGCGCCTAAATTAAATAGTTTAATTGCCAGATAAGCCTAGATTATTAGTTCTTTCACTTTCTTTCTGATAAAAGAGGAAAATATCGATGACCACCTACCACTTCAGTAGATTGATAATTATTTAGGAATGGAAATTAAGCTACTTATAGATTTGGTTAGTAGCTTAAATTGTCCTAAAAATCTATGTGCCAAACCCTAATTGATACACTTAAAAGATATGTCGATTGGTATTATTATTGGCTTTCTTAAAGTGTTAAAAAAATACTTCCATTTAATGACTGTTGATAGGTCTTAAGTTCATGGTAATACTATACCTAACTTTATTAACAAACTGTCAAAGGAGGACCATAATGATCAACAAAAATGTCCTATTACTCCCGCTCTTGGATGTTAGAAAACTATTTGCGTTTACTAAAACACAATAGAAGCACAACAATGTACTTTGGATACTTCTCAAATAAATTAACTCATAAATAGGTATATATATGCATGAAACATATTATATAACTATTTATCTTACTAAGTGTTTATTTGTAAATAGATTATAGTGTATATATTATCTGGTAGATAGATAATAAAATTGTATTATTGATAGACTGTAGAAGTGATATGAATCTATATATATCAAGACTCCTAGTTTAAATATTGATTATTATTGTTATTTTGAGTGTCAAAGGTGAGGTGATTTAGAGAACAAACTATGAGTTTATTTACTTCGGTTCAATGTAAATTACAGTTGTGAACAGTTTAGTGCTAGACGTTAAACAGGTTGAATGATTCACTCTTGAGCTTGACTAAAGTATAAATTAATGAGAATAAATTAACTCACAGTAGATAAGTGAGGGGTTTGTAATACGACTCACTTACATCGCATTGGGTGATCGAGTCTCATAATTGATCCTTACACTGAAAAATGCGGCTAAAATTGTAAACTGTATTTGGGAAGGGAGTTAAATCACATTTAAGCCCGGCTCAAGCTTCGTCGAGAAAATTAGTTTCAAATGGCCACCACATCACACTGTTATAATTTGAACAGATTTCGGTGATATAGGACAGCTTGTTCATTTAAGGAAAAACCTTGATGAAACACTGTTTTCCAGATAAATTAATCGTAAACTGCAACTGTCATTTTTCTACCCAAGAGTTTACTTTCTTAGCATTTTTATGATGTAGTTCATTTAGCATCGGCATCTAGTCATTGTTAACATACCTGACCATTTGTTCTATTCACAAGCTCAAGAAACTCCCAAAAATAACAACGGAAGAAAAACTATGTATCTATTTTCAGGACTTTCGTCAACTGCCTACAACTTTAACTGAGTAATTAAAATCAGTGTATATATGTACCTGAAATGCGTTAAAGTTAACTCGCCAACTTATTTGTGATATAAAATGATTAGGTGAATAAAGATCTGAACGAAAATAAAAGATGGCTAACGTTAGAAATATTCGAGAACTGAAGGACTGATATTCTAGGTTGCGTAATATGTTCATCAATATAAAATGGTTGAAAAATTGCTAAGAAGGAACCCCTGTAATCCACACAATAAAAAAAACAAACATGAATTTATTTTGGTTCATTGGGTTCTCATCAACTGCTTGCACCATGTATTGTTTCGAATTCGA